TGTTCTATTAATTGTTCCCTGTTCATGCAGTATTATAAAGGAAGGGATTTAACAAAGTTGGATATGTATATATGGTGGGATTTGCTGATGTTGCTACATGTTTGGAATTCTGAAATTCGAACAAGCATGTTGACTGAAAAGTGGGTAGGTATTGTGCATGTAAAATCAGTTGGACTTCAGAATAGTGTATAAGCACCGATACTTGCAAATCCATTTGAGGTACCAGTATGATTTCCTCAGGATTTCCTGAGTTACAAACTTGGGACTTGGTAACATTGGTCAGATGAGAGAAAATTGTGCTAAGGAAGTGACTTCAATGCTAGATGTACAATTAAAGATAATCTGAAAGTTTGATAGGAAAACAGACCATTATTAATGATGAAAATTGGGAAAACTGATCTGATTGATTCCTTAATACTTTCAACTATATTATTACAATTTATGAAGTGAATGTTAATCGTCAAAAAGCAAAGAATTTCTAGACATTTAAGTGTTGACAGATTTTTTAAATCCTGGAAAAAAATGGTTGGGAAAAATAAAAAAAATGGGTAGGAGAATTCACTGGTAGAAAATGTATAGTGGCCGAGTAATGAGCATAGAAAGATAAGGAAATCTGGGTAAGTAGGTCTGCCACCATGTGCTTAACACACTATGTGCAAATGAGAGTTTTTACTGAATGATTCCTAACTCCGGGAAGCTCCAACACCGGCGCCGGTGTTGGAGCTTCCGGGAGTTAAATGATTCCCAGCAAGTTTGTTTGAGGTTGTCTTTATTTGACTGGTTCAAAAAACCAATCTCCTGCTGGATAAACAATCCAGAATAAATCGTAAAAATTTTCTCTCAAAATACCATTCCCATACCAGAGCTCAAGAACAGCTTTAAAGACAGGGTACCTTAAATAGATCTTGTATTTAATTCTCAAAGCTACCAAAAAGTCATATTCATTCTTAAACTATTTTTTGTCAGTTAATTTTGTTTGTAAGCTAATCAAACCTGATATCAAAGTTAAAACTACAAATTAATGAAAAATGCATGCAAGTTATACTACAAACAGAAATCTAACAATATACATGTTATCAAAAGTATGTTTTATTTCGTTTTCTCCATACATTCATCAATATAGCAGTTCTGTAATACAAACATAACATCCATGTATATGTACCACATCACATACTTGGTAGGATTTCAATCAGAAAATCAGAATTGACTCAATACTGTCACTGGGGTATACCAATTTCTACAAACCATTGATTCAAATCAACAAATACAATCCACATATACTGTAGTAACACCTTGAAGCATTCAACTTGTATGTTCACTGACCATGGCTAAGGATGGCTAAAGGTGGCCAAGGGGGACAAAGCACGGCACTTCACGCTTGGCAAGCTTATTATGAGTAAAAATAACCTCCTTCATTGTAATTATAGCCCCATTAAAGATAAAGACCAGTTATGGTCATGCGATTGCATTGTGAAAGAAACCTTGTGGAATCGATCAGAAAGGGTTGATCATCTAGCATATAAGTATTGGTGTGTACTGCAAGGTTCTGGAATCATCAAAATGATAAGAAATTTGGCCCAGTCTTCATAAAGTTACAAGCACTGTACTCAGAAAGATGCATATGGGACTACACACACGTGCGCGACACGTGCATTATATCTATCACGTCCAAATAGATAAACTAATTTACCAAATATATCAATTAGTAGGCGGTTTCCCGGCAAATTTTTTATCATTATGTATTGGTCAAAACATTCTTTCACATGATTGGTAATAAGAGCTTCCATTTCATTTTTTTGAGAGGGGGGCATTTCCAAAACTGGTCTTTACCTTTAAAAATGAAAATTTTCTTTCTGTAGTATTCTTCAAGCAAAAATGAATAATTGTGTACACTGTTTACACAGTGGAGAAAAATAACATTTTGAAATAGATAAACGGAATTGGAATATTAAAGTCAGGATCACTATGTTAGGACAAATGATTTCGTTCAAAATTCTAAGACTAGCAAACAAAATTAAAATTGTGGGTATTTAAGCATGTGGAGAATCTCAAAATTGATGGTATTTGCTTTGCACAGACACTGCATGGCACAGTAGCCATTTTGGATTTGCAATATAGCGACATGAAATTCATAGTTTCCCATATCTCAGCTTCTATTCAATGTAGAAACCTCATGAAACATGAGTTTCAAGGGTCAAGAAAACCATTGGTGACATATCATTAGACTTGCAATACCAACCCTTCATTGCACAAGGCAGCCATTTTGCTTTTCAATTTGCATTTACAAAATGGCTGCCATATTATACCTTACATGAGCGATTTACGCTTCTATATTGTAGAATATGAATGCAATCTTTGTTCACTAACAATGGGTAAGTTTACCATGATGCTATGCCAGCTAGGGGATGGCAATTTGCAGCCATACTCAATAATTACACTACTATAGCCATAAAATGTGGGTGTCAAAATACAGACATGCTAAATCCTTGCATTTCCTATAGCTAAATATTGGAGGGGGTGGCTAAATGCAACCATACCAAACCGTTGAATTAGAATGTACTTTAACCAAATATTTGGGGGGCCAAATGCAGCACATAACATTGGCAATACATTGCATCTGCTGTTGTGCTAGTGGACGTAGGTACCCCATCAACTAAACATGAAACTTCTCACGCTTGGTAAACATTCCATGAGTAAACAAAGCATCCTATATATTGAATCATTAAAATGAATCGAATCAAATACATGTATTTACATTCCTCTCTCTTCAAAAATTCTTTGGCAAATGATTGTGTACACATAGTGTAGAAATATATCATTTCACAACTTTTCTCTGTTAGTCATACTGAGAAGCATATCCACCTATTTTGTGTTCAAAAACAGATGGTTGTGTTGCCAATTTGAGGTTTGAGGTTTCTAGTTTATGAAAAAAACACTTTCAAATCCCAGCCATCTAAATGTTTTAAATGAATAAAACTTTCTGAAGCATCAATTCTCGATTCCTGTGTATCCAGCATTTTTCTTGATGGGTTGTCAAGTTTTTTGCAAATGACCTATATTTGCCCATGCACACAGATAGTATCTCTGAACTGATTTATGCTGCAATTAAGCCATGTGGCTGCCAATAACTTTTTACATAAATCATTACTGAACCTTACATAACCTTACCTTACACTCAACTTTTAACTCAGTTTGTTGTCATTGTTTTCTTTCTTTTTGGGAACGCTTTAAAGATAAAGTTGAGTTCTGGTCATGCGATTGCATTGTGAAAGAAACCTTGTGGAATCGACCAGAAAAGGTTGATCATTTAGCAGATAAGTATTGGTGTGTACTGCAAGGTTCTGGAATATTCAAAATTTTCAGAAATTTAGCCCACTCTAAGTAAAGTTACAAGCATTGTACACAGAAAGATGTATATGGGACTACACAAACATGTGGCATAAAAATCCGTCCTGATTTGTATGATTTTACATGCCATATTTAGAATATTAAAGCATTTGAAGAGCCATGATTTTCGTAAGGAATATTGTACATCAAAGGGCAGGAATACATCTCATTTTTCAGAATACCTACACTTATTCTTTGGGTTTAGGTTTCCTTTAAAGGTAATACAAAGTTTTGGGAAATTTTGAAAATGGGTGGATAGTGATTCTTTACAATTTTCATATATTTGGATGCCACCGTGGATGTATTAAAAGCACTAGAAAATTCAGCCCCTAAAACACTTCTGCTTTCATGAAAAAATGAATATAAAAATTTACCGGTGCTCCCGGTAAAATTTGATAAATTTCAAATAGCGCCTACGGCCGTACAATAGTAGCTGCGACAATGAAAATTTCAGAATATGTAGTTGTAATATATAATTTCCAAACAGGAATAGCTTATCGGTCGATTTTAGTCAAGAAACATTGTTTTATAGCTTAATTAATATCTTGACCTTGAGAGGGAGCTATACAACATAAAGAGTTTATCATTTACAATTTCATAACTTTAGACTCGATTTCAACCGCGACAACGATTACTTAATATTGTAGAATCGCATATGCTTCCAATATGTTCATTTGAACCAAATTCATGACCCTATATCAAAACTTTGTATTACCTTTAAGGTCTCATGTCTTTTAAATTTGGTATTCTACATGCTTGGGTCGAGTATTATAGTTCAATTGCAATTGCATATGATTAAAAGTGATTAAATCTGTGACCTTGTCAGAATCAAGCCACAGATAGGAACAGGCAGTTGTTCAATTCAAAGATAGACTCTTTGTTGCATGTTCTCTTTGTAACTGTCAAGAGTCACAGGCCAAGGGCGGTGAAAACTAGCCAGGAAGAATGGACAATGCAATCAATTTGACCAATCTTTCAAGTCTAATATTTCGAGAGTCAGTGACACAAAGACGTGACTCCATTTTTGGCAACTTTGAGAAAAAGTGGTTAATGTGTCACTGAGCACTTGGGCTTTAAGGAGTTAAGTCTTTGTGTTTCCTGGAAAGCCCACATTTTTCTGAACAGTTTGATATCAAATACTCAATTGGGCAAAATATGGAGTTACATCTTTGTGTCACTGAACCCTTGATTTCAAGTCTTGGTATTCCATTATTTTCCATCTAACATAACTGATGTGGATACGTCTGATGAGTGATGAGCACAAAACATAGATGTGAATAAAAAAAGGCACTTGGTTGTCATCTAAATCAAGGAACCTTCCGTCTTGAGTTGTTCAACGTGGATGAAACGGGAGCACATGATGAAGACCACTGTCCTTTGAGAATCTTTCATGACCTGATGACCTGGGGGGTGTTCTACAAAGACTAAGATCGACTTTAAGTTGGACTTAACTATGGCCGGTCATTCATGCCACTGGTTGCTCTTACTATTGGTCTCTCAATTATGATATTTAGATATAATTTTTTTTCCTTCAATAATGAATTATTAAAAAAGTAAATTTTATAGATTTGTGACCATGATTTGTACGTCCCTTGAGAGACCAATGCCAGTAAATGGTGAGAGAAAATTGCGGCATTAATGGCCTGCCATAGTTAAGTCCAACTTAAAGTCGATCTTAGTCTTTGTGAAACACCCCCTGGTCTTCCTCCACCAGAGATCCTTAGTCAGATCAGAACTCGCAACTTCACCACTTTTCATGCAGAGAAAGGGTGAGGAGTGAATGATGGTGGGTCCATGTTCTTTAAGAAAGATGATGTGATCTGATGACCTGGTCTTCCTCCAACAAAGATTCTTGGTCAGGTTTGAACTAATAACTTCACTAATATTCACAGGCAGATAGAGAGCAAGAAGCAAGGGATTAGCGGTTCTATGTCCTTGGAGAAACTTAATGACCTGGTGATCTAGTTTTCCCCCATAAAACAGCCTTGATCATGTCATGTTCCACCATCATAAGATCACCATGCGTACACAGAGTACTAGAGAGAAAGAGATGAGGGATCAGTGGTTTCAATCATCCTTGTCCTCTCCTCATCCCTCCTCTGTCATCTATCATCCATCGGTTCAGCCTTTATGATCATACCGTCACCCAATATGATTCCGCCACCACCACCACCTGCATCACCACCACCTCCTCCTTGCACCCCTCCTCCGTCCACCCCTCCTCCTACAGGTAGAGCTGATGAAGAGTCCAGACACTGATGCCAGCCAAGCTCCTTTTCGCTCTCACACCAAAAGTCACACCTGGGGCACTTGGCAGCACCAGGATTCTCGTATTGCACTGGAGACAGGAAGGCTGGGTCAGGAAACGAACCCATCAGGGAGGAAGCTTGGAACAATCTTTCGTCCAGGTCTAGGGACTCGTTGCTCTCAGGACAGGCGGCGGAGTTCAAGCTTGTTAAGAGGAGAGACGAAGGAATAATGCTCACTGGGTACACCTGCGGAGCATTGACGTTGTTGGCTGCCAAAGTAAACAAGAGAGGTTGATAACAAAAACATTTATGTCAGAATGAATACTCCCTGGAACAGCATTTCTGGGCAAGTACCCTCCTCCCTGACCCCCATACAACAAGTACCCCCTTTAACAACAAACTTCACAGGGCAATAAGCCAACAAGGGGGATGGGGGGGGGGACCTACCCTCCCCCTTGAACAACCAGCCCCACAACTGCAAATTTGTAGGCGCTGTAAGCCTAAGCCCAAGGTAAATATTTTGAATTGGGGAGGGGGGGGGGGGGGGGGGGACTAGAATGAGAATTTGGGAGCCTGTGTCTCCTGGGTGCCCGTTTTGTGCCAAGTCATGCAAAAATGGTTCACTTTCAAAGGACATAAAAACATACAATGAGAATGACCTACCAATCGGTTGGTTTTGTGAGTGACCCCCATCGGATTGCAGCGTATACTCAGGATCAACAGGCTCCTTCTTCACTGTTATGAGCCCTTGCGATTCAAGGCCAGAAAATAGCAGATCTACAGCTGCCTCCTGCGTTAGTACACCAGAGTTATTTCTATAATCGTTCATCTTTTCTTCCCCTCTCTTTTCTGTCATTATGTCCTCCAGAGATTGTTCAAGTAAAGACTTGCATCCTGATCTGGCCTTGCTGCACATCTCCAGCCCTCTATGGTGCCCCTTTAAGTCATCCTTCTTCTTCTTCTTCTTCTTCTTTTTCTTTTTCATCTTTTTCTTCTTTGTCTTCTCCTTCTTCTTCATGATGGCCACTTTCTTTGATGACACTTTGGTCTTCTGTTTCATTCTCAGCTTTTTCCACAGGTTACAATCTTGTTTTCCTTTCTTTATTTTAGTCTCTGTCTTAACACTTTCCCGTGTGAAAGGCCTGCCGGACAATCTGTTGGTGTCTTGCATATCAAAGACATCTAAGGAAAAAAAAGAAGAAAAAAAGAAGCTTTCACTACATAGTCCTGTAGAAGATTTTCAGACCGGGAAAAGTTGATAAGTACAAGGTTTTTTTGTGGATTTGTGTTCTAGATGGGTATTGAAGTAAATTCAGCTTGGCAACCTTGGGCAACTTTTTTAGTAGCCATATTAGCATAATCATCTAATTAGCATATGTGCAATATGTAATGATGTTGCTAATCTCAATCCAGGAAGCCTGAAAACATGGATAATACGGCTTTTCAAGGGTTTTCTATGATGAGGAATTAATTTATGACACCAGTTTTTTATTCCAAGTAATGCAATTGTCTTAAATAGCATAATTAGCATATGTACAATGTATGGATTTCATTGTCATTGTTTATCTAAATAAAGCCTAAAAATGGTGCAATGCTACATTGTAAATCACTTTTGAAAGACTAATCATTAATTCATGAGAAGATATTCCATGTAGATGTAGTATAATTAGCATAATCATCTAATTAGCATATATGTGCAGTATGTAATAATGTTGCTCATCTTAATTCAGGAAGCCTGAAAACATGGATAATGTGACTTTTCAAGGATTTTCCATGACGAGGAATTGATTTATGACACCAGTAAATTACTCATATTCCTGACTTAATTATCAAATTAAATACAGCCCAGGGGGGTATTTCATATTCAAAAGCTAATAATCAATTATTTTAGACTTTTTATAAATTCCACATCAAGAACATAATATCTTCTTGATAATAGACAAAATGAATGATTTGAATCAACATTTTATGTCTTTTAAATAACTTTTACAAAATGTTTTCAAAGATGATAACGGCTTTCCAAAATTGTAAAGTCCAATTAAGAGACAAGTTCAACTAAGAATCTTTGTGAAACACCCCCAGGTCTATTAAGGAATGAAAAATCCTGGCAAAAATCCTTACCCACGAGCCCTGAAGCCATCTCGGGCATTTTTGTCTTCTTCTTCGCTTTGCCTACGCCCGTGCTCTGTATGTGCTTCCATTTCTTGTTCTTAATGAAGACGATATCAGGGATGTGGCCAAACCTCCACTTTGTTAGAGCTTTTCTCTTGAACTTGCACATGTGCTGGACAACCTCCGTCATGTCCTCCAAAACACTGCCGCAATTGGGACACAGAGGGCGATGGTTGGCAGAGTATATCTTCCCTGTATGTGTGAAGATATATGAGAACAAAACTAGAGGGAATAGAAATTGTGTTGTCTGCCTATGGAGGACTCTTTAGTTTTGTCTGCTAAAGTTAAGATATGTTATGACTACTAACAGACTGTAATGTGTTGCATAGTTGTGTATGATATAACATACATGTATATGTGAGCGAAACAAAGTAAATAGACATTTTACTGTGAGCACATGGAAGTGCGCTTACACAAATTATGATTTCCCTTCGTAGGGAATGCAACTGCAATGGCAAGATACACACACAAAACACATACACATGAAAGTAACATCACTGCCATGTACAGGTGGACAACTCTCATCTATGTTCCAACACACAAAATATCTATTGCTCAAAATATATTATTTGGTAGGATATTTTTCTTTTGGACACACTTAAAGTAACATGTTATCCAAAATATATTTGAGTAGTGCTCAAAGGGAAAAGAGAAGACTGGAAATCTGTCATATTTTAGAGAGATGTTCATGACAACATCAAAGTCGATGTACCAATTTGAGATTCACAAAGATTTGATCTCATCTTTCAAACATTTGTTCCTTTCTTATTATTTGTCTAATCTCTTTCAAAGTTCATATTCTTATTTTTCTGCTTTAATAATAGCAATTTTCTCTTGACATACCATTCCCATACCAGAGCTCAAATTAGCTTTAAAATCAGGTTTGAAGAATGTCACAAAAGAAATGTCCCCTAAAAAAGCTTACTCTTTGAATTCCCTCTTAATATCCCTTCAAACTGCCCTTCAGAATGCCAAAAGCGTGTAGTCCCATATATCCATTTTTGTGTGGAGTGCATGTGAACTTCAGTACGACTGAATCAATTTCTTCTAATTGTGGTGATAGCAAAACCAAAAGTACACCCCAATGTACTACATAATCAACCTTTTCCAATAGCTTTCAAACCGTTTATTTGCCAAAGCAATTCCTGATCAGAACTCGATATTATCCTATTTGCTTTCAAAACCATTATTTGACATTGTAACCCCTGACCAGAACTCAACGTATTCTGTAAGTCTGACAGTAGAACCTACCAAGACAAGGAACAGTCAACTCTTCCTTCAACCTGACAGTCTCCTGACTATCACCCAGCATGCTTAGCATCCTGGATTCTGAAGGGTCAAAGGTCACAGGGATATTACTCCGACTGATCTCAAGCTGCTGCACAAAAGTATCAAGCTTTGTCCCGAAATCTGGGTGCAAAAACATTTGAAATAAAAATAATTGAATTAAAAAATATTTCCCAATAATGTACAGCTCAACTTGGAAAGTTGCACATGGATCGCTTGCAGTGAATACATGCAATGTGTCTTTTCACATTTATTTCATCCAAAAATTACAAACTGCATTGATCAAATGTAGTGATAACAAAAGATACCAGGAAGAACATTAGTCAATCGTCGAATAAAAAGACACGCACCCCCAAGAGAACAAAATAACTTTTTCAGGAGTTCCTTGAAAAGAAAAATTAAAAAATGTCAAAAATGTGACCAGGCATATTGATAACTATTCACATTTCTCATCATACATTTCTTAAACTACTGCTTTTCACAAGAAAAGAGGGTTCTTATGAACCCCTCAAAAAAGTTCTGCAATTGAAGTTTTAGCATTGATGATTCTCTTGTTAGTATATTATCCAGAACCTCACAACACAATTAGTTTGACATATTATATAATTAGCCTTTCACAATCAAAAAGTATTTTACTGTGACGCGCCTGCTTGGATGTGCGCTTGGATGTAGACTTCTGATTAAAACGTTCATTATCGTTGACATCTTGACACACAGACATTGGTCTACTGACTGTTATGTTTTGGGACTTATTGTGGCGGTTTTGGGGTTTGTAATCTTTGTCTTTGGTGGCGAATCAGTTTGTTGTGGTTTTGTGTTGCCCAGGATCCATGATATTTAAGCTATGGTCACAAATCAGAGCAGCGACCGACCGATCAGTAGCCTGCTCGGTTGCTGCTGGAATTAGGCATCGCCCAGCGATTAGGTCGGTGCCCGGGCGGCGACCGCCCAGGCACCGAGCGTATTTTGGGCGGCGAGTGAAAAGTGAGCAGGCGCTGCCCAAATTTTAACTCCGCGCTAAAACTTCAGCGGCGACCGAGCGGTGCCTGGACGGCCGCCGCTCGGTGGCCGGGCAGCCGCCGGGCAGAATTGGGTAAAAACTCACCGCTCGGCCGCCGAGCAGGCTACTTTTGGGTATTGTGACCATAGCATAACATTGCAATCTTATTACCAGTACTCTACTTTATCTTTAACATTGCAGTAGAGGACTCGTACGAATAGTGTAAACACATTCAAAACCAACCTTGTGATGTTGTAGACCACCATTTATCTACTCCTTCTCTTCTGTCTTGGTCCATCGAAGCTCTCGCGGCTCTCTCTTCTTTTATCTTGGCAATCTGCTCATACACATTCCTCAGTGGAAGATTTAGATCACCTGTAATAGATAGAAAATAACAGTGAAACCTGCGTTGAAAAATAACTGTATAGAAAGACCGCCTTTCTAAAATGACATTTTCCCCTTTGTGTTTCTCAATGAAATCTGAACTAAGGTAAAATATACAGAAAAACTACCTGCTCATAAAGGCCACTCATTTTATCTTCCATGAAGGGAGATTTTTAGAGATGTTTCGATTTCAGTTTTATAACTCAAATAACATGCAATAGCAGGAAAGCTTCGATCAAAAGTTTGTGTGTAGTCCAATTACACTGCACATTTCTGTGTGCAGTGCATTGTGGTTTTCAGCACGATTGAGTGAATTTCTTTTCATTTTGATCATTCTGAAACCCTCACAATGCATATCAAGTCTTATTGCCGAGTGCTGGGAGTGTCAAGCCTCATTATTATTATTATTATTATTATTATCGATTTTATCGTTATTATGGGCTACACATTCATTATCCCTAAAGTGCGTCCAGTTTCTTCCACAAAGTAATCATAAAAAGACCAATACACATGGGCGTAAATCCTTACGTAATACCTATAGTTCAGGGGGGGATGAATGAATAGATCATCCCCCCTGAACAATAGGTATTACGTAAGGATATACGCCCATGCCAATACATAACTGCTCTAACTTGCAACCTTCTTGCTCTTTCATCAAATACAAGACTCTGTAATCGAGTTTCAAATTTGTAGTTACCTTCAAAGAAGGTTACAGGAGTCCTGTCCTTGTCTTCGTGCTTTAAGGCAACAGGTTCTTCTTTACTCTTTTCATCTTCCTGAACTTCTTGAGTACATACTCCAGAGAGTCCCTCATCACTCACTGCACCAACATCGGTATCCATCTCACTTTTTATCTGATGTTGCTTGACTGTAGATCGTGTGACCTGGGGCTGTAACTCCTCCTCGACTGTAAAGATAGTATATCCCAGGGAAAAAAAACACTTTAAAAATTTTGGGGGCTACTTTCAAGCTAGCTTGCATAAAAATAACACTCTTTATTTTGCTTTGCATTGAACTCTATGCAACTCTTTTTGGCATTTTGGGGGCTCCTTCGCCCTAAAACCCTGTGTATTTTTCCCCCTGGTATACCCTTATCCATGTTGTAGAGTGCAATTTTATTTAAAATGAAATAAGATTAATAGTGAGCTCTTGCATGGCACTCATGTTTTTGTTTTTTTTGTCTTTCTAGAAGGTTTTTTTCATAGAAATCTGTGCAAAAGTAAGCTATACATAAAGACTACAGGTACTTAGTACCTACTTATAAAGACCATAGTCTTGTCCCTCTATTAATATGTACATCTATTCTGCAATTCATCTTATTTTACAAACAAAGGTTTTTTTCATAGAAATCTGTTCAAAAGTAAGCTATACATAAAGACTACAGGTACCTACTTATAAAGGCTATAGTCTTGTCCCTCTATTAAGATGTACATCTATTTTTACAGAGCAACTGATACCTCACCACTGGAAATAGTTATTTATTTATTCATTCCGCTAGAGTATCAGAAACTGAAGGTAATGGATTCAAATATCTTCTTCAGTAATGCAGTCTAATATTTCAACACTACACTCTTCACCTATATCTTGCCATTATGTTGTTTATGCATGCCATACACTCCATTGATACTATGTTGCAGTCCTCTTCTTTTCCTCTCTTCTTTTCTCTTTCTCCAAGCTCTCTATCCTCCTCTCCTCTTTGCCTATCCCTTTCTTCCTTTCTTCCTTTCTCCCATTTATATTGTATAATTGTATTTATATATTCGGGCGTACCCACTACAAGCTATGCTTTTCGGGTTTCACGCCTTCTTCCTTGTAATACAAGTTCTTTAATTATATTTATGTTCCTACTTATAAATTGTATTGTTTGGAAGAAAATAAATGTTCATTTGAATTGAATTGAATAGCTTACTGACCTTCTTTATTTGAACCTGTATCGTTTTTTCTAGCCCTGGCCTGGTGAAAGGAAAATAGAGAACAATAACCAAGAATTAGCTGATATATCAAATTCTAAACAGGTACATTCAAATACAGAGCAAATGTTTTGGATCTTTATTATGAATGTGACCATGGTGCTTCTTAAACTCACATGGCTATGTAAAATAAGATTCCTACGGCAAACAAGACAAAGGTATGTTTTGTCACGATAGGTGTCATTGAGTTTCTTTAACATGGTGAAGTAAAAGTCTTCTTCTTCTTCTCCTTGATTAGTAAAGTCCACCTTATACTCTTTGATGTGACCCGGGCCTGTCATAGCACATTTTGCTTAGCCAATCCTAAACTAATAAGAATGTTACCTTATTCCAAGTAATGAATTGAAAACCAGCCCTGGGGCTCAAATTGACAAATTCCCATGACATTTTGCTACATGTACATGTATAGACAACCTGAAAAAGACGTTAGCATGAAGTCTTCGACATCGTTTTGTATAGTCATCATTCATCATCAGTACAAGTTCAGCCACATGCTATTTAAACTCTAGTTAATTTTATTAATTTTATTGAGGATCATTTTTAACAAGCCATTTACCGGGTATGTGCTTTTCATGCCACACAAGACATCCCATTAAAGTCATTTTATATATATATATATATATATATATATTTGTATTGAAGATTGTATAATTTAGTTTTTATCTTGACTTGGCAATAAATAAATGAAATAAAATGCATTACAATGAGATGTCAGCAAACTTGATCTTACAACTGTTTCATAAAAGAATGCTTGATATAAATCTTACCTCTCGTTCACCCATAACAAAGCGCATTTGTTTCTCTAGTAATCTCAGCCGTTCATTTTCCTGATGGCTTCGTACACGAGTCATCTTCTTGGTGGTCTTGAAGATCGTCGGCACAGCATCATCCCTGAGTGCTCGACAATTCCTACCAGTATTACCTAACACAGGGTCAGGCTTCTTGTAACAAGTGTCTCTGAAGTGCTTGGAGCAAATTACCGAGTCTTCCTTTGGTGTCCAACCCTCTATCACATCCTGCACTGCCTGGATCCATCGCTTGCGCACCCAGCCGTTTCTCGGGAAGCTGTGCACTTGGATGGAAAAGGAGAAATCTCCTTCTTCGTTGCATGCATCGCAATGTGACATGGTTGAGATGAAATAGTGATTAGCGACGTCACTTTTCAACACTAGTAGACAAAAAAGACAGAGCAGAGAAAAATCAGCAGGGATTTCTTCAGTTTTACACATGGTATAGAGCTTAGAGCAGGGGTGATAGTGAGCACTAAAAAAAAAATAGGTTTTTTGTTTTCCCCTCAACCACGCCCCCCTTGAGTAAAAAAAAAAGAAGAGGATTCGCAGGGAAAAAATGGCATCTAACAACATTCCCCCCTTTCGAATAAGAAATTTTGGGAAAAAAATAGGGCAAAATAGGGAAGAATCAAGAAAATAAGGGGGAATCGGGAAAATCAGGATAAAATAGGGAAGAAAAAAAAATATGGTAAAAAAAAAAAAAAAAATCTGGATTTTTTTTTTTTAAATCGGGAAGAAAAAAAAATCAGGAAAATTTTTTAAAAATCGGGAAAACGATTTAAATCGGGTTTTTTATCAGGCCTGTTTTTTTTTATGACTACTGGGTATTAAATTTTATAGTCGGTTTTGAGTGCCAAATCTGAAATCTAGTACTGTAAGTTCTTGGAAATTGGGTTTGCCATTTGGGCAAGTGACATCTAAACTATTGTGAACATGTTGAACAATCCATGCCTCCCTAGTGTTGGATCAATTCATCAAACTCTAAATTTCCTCAGCAAGTTCCTTCTCGATCTCTGCATTCCTCTTCTGATCACTCAAAATCTTTGAGGCAACTCGATCAAGGAAAAATTGGCCACCAAAATATCAGTCGATATCACAAACACGAAAAAGGTCATGAATACATGTGCGCAATATGAACCAAGATTTTGGGGGCTAATTTTTATTGGCCAAGTTGAATGCCAATCCAGCGAGAGTACATGGATTATCGCTGGAAAAAACAACACATGACTGCCAAACTGTCGGCAGGGACTTCAATGTTTTTGGACACAAATTCGACCTTGGATTATAACTGGAAATATCAAAAGTTCTTCCTAAATAACCATTACAAAAATAAAGGTAAGATTTTGATTTTTGACTCAAGAGTGAAACATCATTGATAAAACTGTTCATGATGAACATGGACTATTTATATCCGGCCTCCATTCATTACCACCATATTCTATGGGGGCCTAACAGCTTCACAAGCTTGCTTTCAGGCACACATAGCTGCATTAATATCCTGGCTGTGTATTAAAACCTGTTCTATTGATTCTTAACATTTCAAACACCACTGAACAAAACTTAACCGATTTCACTCAACATCGGTACTTTAATGACAATTGATGACACCTAAATAGCAGTAAAATACAATTTTTTCAACTCACTGATGGTAGAAAGAATAATTTAAAAAATTAAAATCGTGAGTCTACAGTCAAACTTGCTTACAGGCACATCGGCATCATTGTGTGCATTTGCTCGAAATCGCTGAATATGCACGACTCGAACAAACAGAGCCCTTCTCAACCTCGTGCATATTCAGCGATTTCGAGCGATCGGCGCTCGATAGCCTGAATATTCATATTTTCTTCGCCACTGCCGCACATGCGTACCTTCTCATCGCTATTTTGAATCAACGCTGCGACATGGAAGAATCGTTGGTGCAGTACCCTGAATTAACCTTTTTTTCCCATCGAAGACTTCTTCAAATTATACATTCAAGTGATTGGAGTTGAGCCCTGAGGAGTCGTGCACCCTATGATATAAAAATTGTAAGTACTCCCTTTGCAGATTTAACGATAATATCACCCAATCGGCTGTTTTACTAGCCCCCAAGATAAACCAAGGAAACCACCCGAAGCTCCGACGCCTGCGGCGCCGGTGTTGGAGCTTCCCGGAGGCGTTATTTTTTTATGCGGCACAGATTGGGGCATGGCGCGTGTTAAACCTATGGGAAGTACGTTCTTTCCCTTCTGAATAGTGTCTGCACGTACGTGAGACTAGTCATGTTCGCTAGCGCATTAGCGCTGCGAAGAAGTTTGAATATCCATCGCGAACTATGTGTTTAGATAACATTCCTCTTCGTTTAAGTTAGTTCAGTTTTATTGACTAATTATTGTGATGTTCTCCTTATTGACGTGCTGCCTCCTCTTCAGATTTCCAATTTCATTTTAATTGTTGATGTAAATTTTCTATACTATACGGTAGTGGATTACACGTAACACTATTAAAAACAGACCTCTACTACTAGTACGCACACGACCACTATTAGTCTGTAAATCAAGACCCCTTTTAAAAAAAAGCCCAAATCTGTGCCGCATAAAATTAGCAGTGCTAACAAAGTTAGAGGTCAATACGCATTAGCATTGACTTCCATAAGTCAAGTTCACTTACATGAATATAAATCTGTGGGGCAATGTTAAGAACTCCAGCAGCATTTTTCCTTCATGCAAAGACAAATAATCACCGATATTTTTATTTATTCTCAGACCTTCTTGATGAAATTATGTTACAATTACAGCTTACATATTTACACGATAATTGAAAATTAAATTTATACTTCGAGTTGATAAAATACGGAAATAGCTTACGTTACATGTAAAAAGATCCGCTCTCTTCTAGAGACTAGGCTTGGCTTCTTGTTGATTTGAAGGAAATCCTCCTGCATTCAATTCGGCCGTCCAAAGTTCGTCGGATACGTGTATATGATCGGCGGCAATTACCAAAAACGTTTTACACAAATAGGTTTATACTCAGAATAACCACACAAGCTTATATTTATAAGATGTTTTACAACATGTTTGCTCATTCAAAGTTAGCAAACCAACTTTCATATCAACCTATCAATTATTTGGCTCTTCCCCGAGTCTCTTTTACTGCCATGGCGAATAAATTAGTGGTTAGAATAATCGTGTCGAGGTAATGTCTTTGGAGTCGATACCTACAAAAGACCGCCCCCCCATCCCCCTCCCCCCCCCCCCCCCCCCATTTCCCCTCCCCTCCCCCTCCCCTCCCCTCCCCCATTTTAAAAATCAAATTGTCAAATTGTTACGGGTCGGGGGAATAAGGATGGACTTGTTAGTTTATTTTTTTTTATTTTTTATGTTCTTGTTTGTTGCAGTAGTGCTTTTTTTCGAGGGGGTGGTTCCGGATTAGATTTAATTGCCGAGAGAGACGTGTCATTCCATCGTACCCCCTCCCCGGCGGCCCGTAGCACTAGAAATGTGTATATATATTCTCTCGAAAAACAATAGCTCGTATATAGAGGCCCAATAGTAATTATAGTCTCCTTAGCCCGTACAAATCGCGAAATAATGATGCCGATGCAACGGCCTTCTAAATGTGGCGCCATGTGGCCCATTCCAATTAGCTACTTTTGCAATGTAACCAACTCTAATCAGAGGCGGTGCTCCCGGGGGCAGGGGGCACAGTGCCCTCCCCTTTTCAAGTACCCCAAATGTGCCCCATTTTACATAGGTAAATTGCCCATTTTACTTTTAAAAGTGCCCCTATTACTTTTCACCTGGGAGAAGTGCCCCTTTTATTTTGACACGTAACCCTATTCCTTCAACAAGTTCCCATTTTCCTTTGCAATAATTGTCTATTTTCCATTCTCACCTATTATTTTCACATGGCCCCTTTTCCATTCTAATAAGTGCCCCCATTAAACAAAGAGCTCCTTCCCCTTCTCATAAATGCCCCTTTCAACCTACGTAAATTAAGTGTCCCTTTTCATTTTCATAAGTACCCCCTTTTCATATCAGGTCAGTGCCCCTTGGGACCTATCCCCTTTTTATAAATGCTCTTTTCACCCCTTAGAAAATCTGATGGATGTCCCATTTCCGTCGACAAATGCCCATTTATCATTCTCAAAAGTGCTTTTTTTTTTCATCCCTGATGAGTGCCTCTTTTCAGGTATAAGAAGTGCCCCATTTTAACTCTGATAATCTCCCTTTGTACTTTGACACGTGCTCCTTTCCTTTTTTCAATAGGTGTCTTATCCCTTTCGATAAGTGTCCCCATTTCCTCTCATCATTAAACGTGCCCCCAATTTAAAGCGACTAAGAGCAATTTTCACCAAAGTTCGCTCGCTACACTCACTCGCATTTATAGATGATATAGTTATGTTACTTATCAAGGGTCTTTCCAATCTTCCTTTATGAGAATGTGCTTATAACCCCATCAGGATTTGGTTTGTCCTCTTTAAAAGATATAATTTTCCACACTGCGACCTCACAAATATTTTAAAAATTCATCGCTCACTTCGCTCGCTCTCATTTGAATATTCATAGCATCACACCAACTACAAAGTATGATGCTTAAGCAATATCTTGTATGATGTATAAGGATAAATAAATATTGCAACATCCTAGATAATGTAATCGCAATGTAGGGGTATATACCAATATCTACAAAAATGTATATTTTCGCTTTGAGATTTCCCTTTGTAGGTGCCATTTTTTTCTCTAGAAAGTGACCTTTTTTTGTTGGTATCCCCCGCCCCTCTTCGGAAGTCGCTCCGCCGCCACTGACTCAAATGTATGTATCTTTGTGAAGTGCCTCAATACGAATCATTAAGATAATTCATGCAAATCTCAAATGGGGACTTTTGTCAGGTTATTATTACGTAGAGACAAATAACTCCACTGTAGTGTTTGTCGTGTGAATATCACACATTTCTTGTTTTGTTTTTTCTCCGAGTGCCTTCAATGGAGCACTACTCAAAATATATAATGAATGTTCATTATTGCAGGGCCTCTAAAACGATTTTTTTTTTTTTTGGGGGGGGGGGGGATTTGATAAAAAAAAATTCGCAACGACTCAGCCAACCGCTGAATAAGCGGGGGGGGGGGGGGGGGGGGAGGGGGAGGGGGGAGGGGGGGGGGGGTAAGAGTACATTTTTTTTTTGTCCCGAAAATTTGGCCGCTCGATATTTCGTTCCGTTTGGGGTGGGGGGGGGGGGGGGTAAGGTCACTTTTTTTTTTTTTTAAATAAAAAAAAAAAGATTGAGGGGGGGGGGTTTCCTCCAAAACAGACACACAAAAAAAAATGAGTTCGACCCCCAAAGCCACCCCCCCCCCCTGCGTACGCGCGTGAAGGACACTCTATTTATATATCTATATCTATCTATATACTATATCTTTTTGTAGGGTATTTTGCGATATACTTAAACATTTTGTCTTATAAATTCGAAGTTGCATTATGAACAAACTTAAAATAACTCCTTCTGCAACAGAAACTGTTAAGGGGTACCACATAATGACATTTTCTTCCACAGTTCCAGACTTTGAATTAAAGTGTCAAATTGGGACCACTTTTGAACACTTTCTAATTCCAGTTCCCAAAAGTATTACTTAATTTGTTTCGGTTAGTTTTCAATGTCACCTGTTTATTCATATATGTATGTTAATCCTTCTCATCGTCATCTGCGTCTAGTGTGTTCAACCATACTCTTTCTGTGTCTCCGCCTGTCTATCTATCTTATAATTATGACTGTCTCTCTCTCTCTCCCTCTCTCCCTACCACTTTCTTTCTCTCTCTCTCTCTCTCTCTTTCTCTCTCACTCTCTCTCTCTCTCTCTCTCTCTGTCCGTGCCTCTCTCTCTCTCTCTCCCTCTCTCTCTCTCTCTCTCTAGTTCTTCCACTCTTTCTTGATAATCTTTCTACTCATTTTCTCCTCTTTTTTTTTTTTGGGGGGGGGGGCCTCGCATGTTAAACACGGTAGCAAATACTTCCGAAAAATCAACCTACGGCAATTTTATTTACAGTGTGCGTCACCTACATTAAAATGTATGATCATCATCATGACAATTACGTAATCCGAACAATAGTTGCGATCGTGTTGTCTAAGGTTTCATATTAGGGACTTTTAGATTGAGTGAGCGAGAACACGACGAACGCCGACTGATCATGCGTGTCAACATACTCAACTGCCCATGTTGACTACAATTAGAAATATTTTAAATTGCACTCGACGATATACATGCATGCAGGAAGTAACACTATGAATATGACGGACAAAGAAAGAGAACAAAATATACAGTTCCCCATTCTACCCTCAACAATAGGCCAATTTCGTAATGTAACCAAATTTAATGCATAGGTCTTTGTGAAGTGCCTCAATACAAATTATTTCATTCACCTGATAAGAATAATAGTATTTCAATAGTCAGAATGCAAACTGCATATATTAAGTGTTGCTAGGTAGGTCAAGCCATAATGTTTGTCCTACCTGGCAACAACTAATGTACGGAAGCGTTAAAGTGCCATTCTACTTGACGACATGACGAGATATTTCATCTTGTCAAGTCGACTTAATATCCATATCATGTCGACATGTAAAGATATTTAACCTACCATGTCGACTTATCAACTTTTATTAGTCGACATGGCGAAATAAATTATCTTGCCAAGTCGACTTCACAAAAAGTTCATGTCGTCATGGCGACATAAGTTATCTTACCAAGTCGACTTCTAAAAAAATACATGTCGTCATGGCGACTTATATTATCTTACCAAGTCGACTTCCCAAAAAGTAATGTCGACATGGCGAAATAAATTATCTTGCCAAGTCGACTTCACAAAAAGTTCATGTCGTCATGGCGACATGTATTATCTTGCCAAGTCGACTTCACAAAAAAAGTTCATCTGGTAATAGCGACATAAATTATCTCACCAAAGTCGACTTCCAAAAAGTATATGTCGTCATGGCGAGATATGTAGTGTGACGACTATTTCATGCAGCGCGCGTATATGGCAAGCCCTTTGTGTAAAACCCAGATAAACTCTGTTTTTCTCAGATAAACTCAGTTTATCAGAAAAACTGTGTTTATCAATGATAAACTCAGTTTATCAACAGATACACAGAGTTTATCAGAAAAACCCAGTTTATTTATTTATTTCTAATCTTTTGACAGGGTAGCCCATTCACCAACAAGTAGTGGTCTTCCATGGGGCCCTTAATGAACACATTTGCATCGTTTATAACATTTATACAGAACAGTTACAAAAATAATACTCGTTTGCAAAATAAACATATATCATTAACCTAGTATAAAACAGTAATGTCAATAGGAAAATATTAATTAAGTCGCAATTATGTGAAAAAGTCATGTAAATATTACAGAACATGAACGTAGTGTATGTACGGCTGAGCCATTCACAAATTACAACTTTGTTTAAATAATCTTTTAAATGAATTGATAAAGGAAGCCGTTCTCAACGAATTATCTAGCTTATTCCATTCAAATATGGAAGAAAGAACTGGGATACACTTATAACAATCAGTGTGAAATCTAGGCACACGTAAACATCCACTGTCTATTTGCCTTGTATGATGCTCATGTACATCATTAGGATTGATTAAGCCTACCTGAAGGTAAGAAGGTGCTAAGTTATGAACGCATTTATATATCATCACAACGCGACTTAACTCAAACCGCTTGTCTAGTGTCATCCATTTAAGACTTGTGAACAAGTCAGCCGACGGTGTGTCATATGTCTTGTTTAATATTATTCTTGCGGCCCTCTTTTGAATTTTTTGCAGCTTAGTTGTATGAGAATAAAATCGGTTCGACCATACAACAGAGCAGTAATCTAATCGTGGCAACACTAGACTGTTATAAAGTAACTTTAAGGATTTTTGAGGCAAAAAACTCTTTGCTCTCTTTATCATGCTAAGTTTACTTACGTTTTCGATTTGTTTAGACCATTTTAATTCTTCATCTATCAAAAGTCCTAAGCACTTGGTGAATTTAACTCTTTTGATCAAATTGCCGTTTAATGAAATGGTGAAAGATTCAATTTTCTTGAGATTAGCAGGAGAGCCTATTAACATGACACAATCTTTTTCAGTGTTAAGAACAAGACGATTTCCCTTAATCCATGCTGTGACTCTGATTAACGCAACAGTTAATTTGTCTACCACAACAGTTGCATCATTTGCAATGACGGTAAGTGTCGTATCGTCAGCATACATATCTATGATACCTTCAGGAGTACATTCAGGTAGACTATTAACTTATATTAAAAATAAAAGGGGACCAAGAATTGAACCTTGTGGCACACCTAATTTGATGGTTGATTGATGCGACTTGGCTCCTTTGAATTGGGTCACTTGTTGTCGATCCCCTAAATATGATTTGAACCAATAAATAGTCATATTACTACAACCTATACAAGCTAGTTTATGTAGAAGTAGCTCATGGTCAACAGTATCAAAAGCCTTACGAAGATCTATGAAGGCAACTCCAGAAATTTCTTTGTTATCAATATTCAACGACCATTGATTTACAAGTTTTGCAAGGGCAGTAGCTGTTGAATGTTTAGGTCTAAAACCAGACTGATTAGGGTGTAATAATTGATTTACGTCCAAGAATTCACTGAGTTGTTGGTGGACGGCCCTTTCTATAATTTTACTCACGATAGGTAATATTGAAATGGGGCGGTAATTATTCAAAGAAGAAATATCTCCAGATTTGAATATTGGTACTACCTGAGCCTTGTTCCATTCACGTGGAACAACTCCTGTATCAGTTGATAAACTGAGTTTTTCTAGATAAACTGAGTTTACCAACTGATAAACTGTGTTTATCTATTGATAAACTCAGTTTATCTGAGAAAAACAGAGTTTATCTGGTTTTTACACAAAGTGCTTGCCATATACGCGCGCTGCATGAAATAGTCGTCACACTACATATCTCGCCATGACGACATATACTTTTTGGGAAGTCGACTTGGTGAGATAATTTATGTCGCTATTACGAGATGAACTTTTTTGTGAAGTCGACTTGGCAAGATAACTTATGTCGCCATGACGACATGAACTTTTTGCGAAGTCGACTTGGTAAGATAACTTATGTCGCCATGACGACATGAACTTTTTTGCGAAGTCGACTTGGCAAGATAATTTATTTCGCCATGTCGACTAATAAAAGTTGATAAGTCGACATGGTAGGTTAAATATCTTTACATGTCGACATGATATGGATATTAAGTCGACTTGACAAGATGAAATATCTCGTCATGTCGTCAAGTAGAATGGCACTTTAACGCTTCCGTACTAATGTATGCAGTTCGAGTTCTGTCTATTGAAATACTATTATCCTTATCAGGTGAATGAAATAATTTGTATAGAAGCACTTCACAAAGACGTTTGCATTAAATTTGGTTACATTACGAAAATGGCCTATTGCATGTAGTTGTTTTTGATAATACAAAGTCATGTAGTTCCCGGTAGTACATTACTACATTAATACTGAACACAGTCACAAAGGCATTACAAATCATGCTTGGATTACGTAATACATCATGTTCGCACATTTCCTTCCAGAGGCGATGGGCAGGGCTATTGAAATAATAATTGATATTGGTTGATTTAATGCTCTGTAAGTATGTCCTTATGCATCGTATATTTTTTTTAATATGACCGAAAAAGGATAATCAAACCTTTTGGTTTACTCTTTTTACTGTGAGCAATTGAGCCTTACAGTTAAATGCATACCATTAAAAAAGACATGTAATACATTCGAACATCACATTAAGTAATAAACCATTGCTTTACCAATTAAAACAGAAAACAAAAGCTTAAACATCATGTATTTTAAATAATAGAATAAAGACTATTTATTGCTGTAATTCGTGTGTTTTAAACATTGCGAAATCATAAATTTCTATAAAAACAATCACATTTGTTATGCAGATGGGTTTAGTTAAATTAAAAAGAATACATGGGTAAAATATGACCTCAATATCTGTAGCTTGTGTGAAAATAACAAACTCAAAGAGAGAGAAAGAGCGAGAGAGAGAGAGAGAGAGAGAGAGGAAGATGCGGAAATAGATAGATGCATGGAGAAAGTGAGAAAAAGTAAATGCACAGAAAAGGCCCATTTACACAGCCAATAAAATACATTTTGAAAAACCATCGGGTTTTTTAACTGCCATCTACACTACTGGAAAACCCATAAGAAACCGGAATAGTTTTTATTTTGGCATTCACACTGCTAAAACTCGGTGAAATTTCTGCCGCCGTTAAAAAAAAAAAACACTCTAGAGGTGGTTTTTAGACTAATATTTTGCATCGTCTTTGCCGGTGGTTGCTAAGCAACTTCTGATGAAACACCGAAATGTGAGAAAAGTCGATGATTTTTGTTTGCAGTGTGAATGCAGCTAAATAATAAGGTAAACCACTCCGGGGATACTATCTGCGCATGGGCAGATAAACGTAATTTAAACAAAACTCTAAAAAAAAAAAAAACTGTAAAAACCATAGAGCTATATCATATAGCTCTATGGTAAACACCCATCAAAGCAATTGCTGGATCCGTGCTCATGAACGTTATGTAATCATTATTCATTTATGCACCGGCGGTAAGTTCTATGATACACAGGATGAAGTATTGTTTTCAAGAGGGCAAACAAAAGGTATTGGTGAAGGACCTCCATCACTTTCGCAGTGTTTATTCTAAAATGCACAAAGTGGAACGTCTCTATGTGTAAAAGACCTGTAGATTTTTGGGGTCATTTGTACAAGTGCTATCTCCAAAATGGCTCATTCATTTGTATTTTGAGACGAATATTAATTGATTCGAGAGGCTCATAGATTTTGTTTCCAATCAGCACACGACTCGTGGCAAGGCAATTCATTACATCAATACATTAAAGTGAAATTCGATGAGTTGAAATGTACATTATGTGTAAATATTTCTTAACAGTGGCGGATTGAGAGTCCGCTGGCCGAGGGAGGGAGCAAAAGTCCGAGAAAAATTCTAAAAAAGAATGAGATCTGGAGTATTTTTTAGGGTGGAGCTTATAGCAGGCCTGAGAATTTTTGTTTTTAAATATCTAAAAATCTATGAAATTTTATTCAGATGGTTGAATAACAAAATATGAGTTGTATGCAGCCTACACATCAACAGGAATCAACTTATATTTGGCTATCACCCGACCTTTACGTATGCCTCTTTACCACATTTATCCGCCATCATGAGTGATGCGGTTTCTTGTATTATTTTAGTTGACACATGAAGGTCTGCCCTTTCAACGTTATTTTACCCTACAATGTAATTTATATATATATATATATATATATAAATTCCTTTTTTACAAGACAGCTAACTAATGTAATATCTATTGTTACACACTATTACCCTCCACATTTGTTATTAAGCTGCAATTGCACATTGATATGACATGAGGAAACATTGAATACAAAGAAACCAACTCAAAGGTATTGTTTTGCCAATAAAATTAATGTTCGGATTATGTAATACATCACTTCAAAAGGTGATGAACAGGGCTTTTTAAATTTTCCTTCTTTGGATTTTGGGGTATTTTTAGATCTCGTTATTATTGACATAGCATGGGCAAATCATATGTAAAATTTCAAAAAAAAATATGCAAACATACTCAATTATACATTTTCAAAAGATTGTGCAAATATATGCGAATGGGCAAAAAAACATAAGCAAATATATACATGATACTTACAAAATGCATAGACCTATTATGTATACTAAATCCCGATTTGAGGCTTGAATGCAGCGTTTATCCACTTCGATTCGCACAAGGCAAACAAATTACCTTTAATTTCTCTATCATATTTTTACTTTTCAGTTACCATCACTAACAAAAGTACACAATATCTTTTGAAAGCAGCACACGAATATTTTGAGGTCAAAGTGTCATATTTTCGATATTTCCCAATTAATATGCACGTGGGCTTTTCTCTACCACATTGTTTCCACAATATGTAAACTCTTTAGACAGACGATGAAAGAAGACTGTGGTAACCATGTTTTTTTGTCCAAATTACCATCCACCATAGTAACCATGGTTATCCTGGTACTTAATACTAGTAAATACACATAATAAATGGGCCTAAGTTCAAACAACCTCACTAAGCCTGGTTTTCAACTATGTGCTGTAACCTTTAATTAGTACGACAACTAGCTAAGTAAGGCTTTTATGGATATGAACCGATATTCATATACCTCAGTCGCACCGGAAAGCCGACTCCACGTCTACTTCAAACCGAGATCGATTCTTGGCCATGATTGTGTGGGGCATTTTTTCGTTCCGTCTGTTGTCGGTTAAAGCGATGGTATCGCTGTTGTGACTTAGTTACAATTAGGGGTTTGCTGGAATCTTCTTCTCTTTAATCATAGGTTGGTGAATATCAAAACCAAGAACTTCCTTCCTTTCTGTGGAATCTGTGCACTTGCCTTGCCACCAAGATCTGAAATCCGGCTCTCTCTTCTGCAACGAAATCTCCGGGAACACATGGACATGGATGAGCTTCCGCAAGAGGTAACATAGATTCACTTCCGGGGCGTACATGATGAAGAATCTCGACGAAAGACAGACAATTTTCCTGTTTTTTCTCCAATCAAAATACCGTTGGTACCTTTCCTCGTCTTTATCGAGTTCGTAGATGAACTCGACGAAGTGGCTCATGGAGCTAAAGTCCTCGAGATGGATGAAGGAATTGGGTGGAAGAACATGCTCGTAGTCTTCGCGAGTGGAGCCGTAAACGATTGGCACAATTCCATTCTGAAGACACGTCCTCCAAATCTTCTCTGTGATATATTCCCTGCATTCACTATTCTCAAACGCCAGGTAGAATTTGTAATCTCTCAGAACCTTAACGTCTGTCAATCGTCCCAAGTCGCCACACTCTCCAAAGGTATCGATGGGAAGGAACTTCTGCAGCTCCTTGACGAACTCACTACGTCGCCAGGATACATGGTGATAGCAGTTGGATGCCATCCAGGCAACTAGTTTGGTCTTCCTGGGAGCGGGAGGGGCATGGGCCAGCACTGAGGCGAGCGGTTTCCTTTGCAAGTAGCAATATGGAAAATAGAGGTCGGATTCCGAAGCGTAGGTCATGGTGAGATTATACGGGTTACCTACCCCTTCAGGAGGCGCGTACTCTTGGTCATGTTGGGGGCTCTCGCGGGACAAGAGCACCCATAGTTGACCGCGTGGTCGCTCCGCCATCAGCTGACTTAGATGAAGACCTTCATGCAGGGAGTCGACAAATACGAGGACGTCAGTCGATTTCATGAGTCTCTTCGTCAGATCAGCCTCACCGACGAATCTTGTCTCGATACTGCATGATTCCGAAAATGGACAAGAGAACCGAATCCATTTTGTCTGATGGTTCAAATCATTACCGAGCATGTGGTCACACCGCTTGCCACAGTACTTGATAATACGAATTAAACATTTTTCACGATTAGATATCATACTGCGTAGTAATTTCCCAACCAGGCGACTGTCTTTCACATTTAGATCCTTTTTCAATCCTAAAAAATTCAACATCTTTTCAACGTCCATATTGAGTACCTCATCTTCGATGTGCCCGAGGCTTCTCTTCAGTGTTCTCGTGGTGAAATTATCAAATTTTTTCGAGATGAAATCATCATCTCTTTTCGTGATAAAATCATCTCTTTTCGTGGTGAAAACATCATCTTTAAGATATGTAAAGACGAGATGCCACGTAATGCCTAGACATAACGAGATCATACATGTTTTAATCAACAAGGATTTGGGTACCTTCATTCTGAGACGGAGTAAAAAGATCTATGAAGACTCCAATGAGTTATCTTGAAGCAAGAGTCATATGCACGTGGTGGTAGTACCTATAGCTGTGATGTTGTACAATTTCATCATCATGCACGACACTCTTTCCAAGCACATCCAATGACAGTTTCGTTTAATTTGGAAATGAGAACTCCGAAATCTCCTCAGCTCTGTCACCGATTTACCATCAGTTTGCCACTGACTGTAGCATAATGAGGAGAGCGAATGACCAAGCGAAAAGGTCGGTTCTTCAAAACATGTCATATTGTAGACTATCTAGTACGTAATTATCTGTTGACCTGATCAGACCCTTGCAGCAGTATACCACCGATCTCAGAAGCTAACGGAGAAATTACATTAATTTAATATACTCTCAACAAGTACGTTGTGCAAAGGGAATTTAATCATTCAGCGCTATTACGTCACTGAAGACCAGAATAATAGGATAATGTGTAATGGAGGTAATGCAAATGGCCAATACACCTCCTTTTGTTGTCTCCACTAAGCAAACTTGTTTGCACAAGGGTTTCCTTGTCCAATCCCTTGAATATTCACGACACTTTCGAGAATGGTTCTTTTTCAAACTGGTATATATAACACCCTCTGTACCCTAATTATATACAAATATATATTGTCGTTGAGAAGGACTGCAGATTACTTTCTAGTGTTTTGGAAGATTGTAACATATTTGATATATCATTTTGGGGGATTAGATATTAACATTTAATAATTCAATTCAATTCAATTCAATTCAATTTGATTTGATTTATTCAAGTCCATTAAAAAAGTACATTGAAAACATAATTACATTTAGGATACCCAGTATATTATACATTGAACTTTAAATACACAATTAAAAAGAGAAGTAAAGACAAGAGTAAAAAATGAACATGTTTACAGCAAAGAAAAAGATAATGAAACATGAAATGGAAAACTGCAAAAGAACCAAATAAAGGTTCTGTCGAGGCAGTCCCCAGCCTAATAAAGTACCTAAGTTTGTACTGATAAAGACTTAAAAAGGGTTCTAGGACAATTACCCCCTGGGCAAACACCCCCCGGAAAGTTACCCCCCGGAAAACTACCCCCCAAGGACAATTACCCCCCGGAGAATTACCCCCGGATAATTACCCCCCGAGGACAATAACCCCCTAAGGACAATTACCCCCCGGAAAATTACCCCCCGGAGAATTACCCCCCGAGGACAATTACCCCCCGGAAAATAACCCCCCGGAGAATTACCCCCCGAGGACAATTACCCCCAAGGATAATTACCCCCCGGAAAACTACCCCCCGGAAAATTACCCCCGAGGACAATTACCCCCCCCCCCCCCCCCCGGGGACAATCAGGATTCAATAGCAAAAGACGATCTGTCACGTTAAGAGATGCTGTGAAGGCTACGAGCCCATAATCCCGTGCATGAACCCACATTCGTTCAAATACTTGCGCGTGATCTTCCTCATTACTACACATTTTTCTTTAACTATAATCTATGCAACAACACTGTGGTTGCTGTTTTCTACGAAGGATTTCTCTTGTGCAGCGTTATTTCAACTTTTTGTTCGACACGATGCCCTCTTAAGAAATGAAAAGTTTCGCCCAATCTTAAATTCTTTACAAACTATTTATTTTGCATCACTCTGGCACTCGTCAAGTGCTATGTACACACGTATGGGCACATTTGTTTCTTGATTTAGTGAACGAGCAAGAAAAACAAGGACAAGACATTTTCAAAATGGTAAAACATAATGTTGTAATCAACACACTAGCACAGATTTAAGGTATGCGGGCGCCTTACCGCCGAATGTACACGAATATAAAGTGAAATATTCGGTCATGACCTTGATACACGAATATGAGGATATTCGGGCCTCTCGTTGCCTTGATTCATCATGTTTATAATTGTGATGAGTGTGGTAACAATGTGATGTCGAAATAAAAGATATATATTCGCAAAATATTGTCAGTGAGCAAGGAAGAAAGATATTTTATTATTTGTTTACATTTTATTTTCTCATGAAAATAAATACTCTACCCGTTTCTGATATTTGTTTTTCACAAAATCAACGTTTGCCAAAAAAATTGTCATGTAACTAACATTCTCTTGCGGCACCCCAGTTGAAAAAACGCTGCTCTGGAATTACAAAATCATTGAGATGAATGTACCCAAGTGCGGATACTTATTTTCTTTTAATATGGCACCGTACATACCATATATTTAACTTGAAGGCAATTTTTATTTCAAAATAAATTACAGTACAAGAAAACATATTTTAGTTCACCATATATATATATATATTACATTACATTTATAAACATGAAGAGAACCTTAATTTTGGAATAGATCATGGATGAGGGCCCATTATACATACAAAGACAAATATACGATCAGCTGATTAGAAAAGTTACAGAGGATGCATAAATAATGATATCTTACATCCTAATTTCTTTGTTGGGCCATTTTTGGGGAGACTAGCTGTCTTAACGCGTACTCATCTGCGCGCAATGTATTGTTAAATTTCTAAGAAATGTAAATTCCGTACTTTGATTTGATACATGCGTCTTCTGGCAATACGTGCCTTCACGGTTGTTTCATCGCAAAGCATGCCGGGACATAATTCTAGTCCATTTTCACCTTCGCCGTGATCAGCTGTCCTGTTGCAAACAACGGGATTCGTATCGAATCAACATCATAATCTTGTACATAGTCCGCTATTCTGCAGTGATTTTCTTCCAATCCAGTATCATTTGTACGGTAAGAAAACCAAAGTGTGTGGTTATTCATTTTTATGACTAATAAAGCTGATAATACGACGTAATGAGAGTGGACCGAGATCCAACTTTAGTAAATGTAGGCCTAGATCTAGTCCCATATGTTCAAATGTGTGTGCATTTTAAGTAGACTGATTGTCTTTTAAGCTGCTTAAGTACACTCGTCTCGTGTTTTAGGTAGAAATGTACAGTAATATGAGATTTATGTCTCATGAAATATGAATAGACTTTCTAGATCCTATAATTGATTATGGAATAGGGTCTACTAGAATGGCCAACAGTTAGGCCTAGAAAGTGATTGCAATTAGAAATTATAAATGTAAGAAAGTACAAGAGGCCATGAAAACGATAGATTTTTTCGATCTGGATCTGAATATAATAGTCTGATATCAATGAGCTCTACTTGAGGATCTACATGACGGGGGCGTACGGAGGATTTTTTCGAGGGGGGGGGGGGCCGGGGGGTAAAATTTGAAAATTACGCAGTCAATTTCACAACGACTCGGCCAGCCGGTGAATAAGCCGGGGGTGGTAAGAGCACCTTTTTTTTTCCTTTTTTTCCCCGAAAATATGAAATTTGGGAGACCGATATTTTGTTCAGTTGGTGGGGGGTAAGGTCACCTTTTTTGGGTCACCCTTTAGCACAAAAAATGTTTAATTTATTTTTGTTATTAAAAAAGTGAGGGGGGGGGGGTTCCTCAAAAACACACACACACATAGTCTAAACAAAATTGGAGGAGGGGGGGGGGGGGGTTCAACCCCCGAAACTCCCTCCCCCCTGCATACACGTCTGCTACATGATCTAGTGTTGAAGAAGTGATCAGGGTTCTTTGGTCACAAACTTAAATTTGATTTTCTTTTCCCTTTTATTTATCAGTTGCAGCATCATCGAACACTATGACCCATGAATCAGAAGATAACGTAGATGCTACGAGAGAGCTCATTTCACAATGGACAACAGAAGTGTTACGTGACTTTCTACAAGGAGGGGACTCAAGCTTGGAAATCGAGTACCGGTAGTCATTATTTTATGGGTGTTCTCTGCCTTGACTCTGGGGGTACTGTTCAGCCATCCGAGGTAGAGATAAACTGGACGATGGATGGAGAGGGGGCGGGGGGGGGGGGGGAGAAAGGCATGCAGACTGCAGAGCTGGTCGTCTACTATGTATAGAGACATTTGTGTGTACCTAGTAGATAAGGACCCTCCATCACTAGAGGGAAGAATGAGAGACTACAAAGAGGTAAAGGCATTTAGTTATTTTGCCAGTTTCTGGTTAGGGAGATATTTTTTTCATCTCGTGGGAGAAAGCTGTCTGTAATTCAAAATCATTTGATACTTGAATAAATTTAGTTCATTTTCTAGACTGTTTCATGTCAAACCGTTGATTCTACTTTCTTGTGAGTATAGTCAGAGAGATAGAGAAGTAACACGAGTAAAGAATGAAAAAGAAGCTAATATTTGAACGAGGAGGAGAAAATGGAGATTACGTTGTTGCCCATAGAGTTGGAATAATTGTTCTTACCACTTTTTATTAAATGATTGTGACCATTTGGTTTATTGTTTGTACATAAAGGTCATATGTTATAAGAACTGTATTGATCAATCTAAAGAGTCTTATAGATTGATTAATACAGTTTTGAGATGATGATGATGATTGTGATGATGAACGAGAAGGAGAAGAGGAGGAACATATCATGAGTTGATGGAGAAAAGATTGATAGAGGGGTTATCATTACAGAGAGAGAGAAAGAGAGATGGACTAACATGAGGAAGGGAGAGCAAGAATGGAGGCTATGACATAGGGGAAGAGATAGAAATCAAAATTATATTTATACTAACATTTACTAAATTAGAATAGTAAATTAGAAGATAAAGCTAAAGGAAAGAATGCAAACTAAAATTAAGCAAAGACCATCACAATATCGTTTACATTATAATATAAATTAAGTAAAGGTACATGGAAACGTGTACATTTGTAAAATTTAATCTCTTGTTCTCTTAGATCTTCCTCTTCACACCTAATTCTTGCTCTCCCTCTCTATCTCTCCCTCCCCTCTCTGTCTCTTTCTCTCTCCTCTCTCCTTATTATCACTCTTTCTCTTTCATTAAGCGTCGACATCTCTCTCGATGCCTCTCTCTGTTTCTATGATTTTTCTCTCGTTAAATATTTAAAACATCAGGTCTGTCTGACCTTCCTCTCTTGAATAAATCATGAATAACTTCAACTCGGCGTCCTACATACAGTAATGATTGCTTAGTACTCATCTACAACCTTCTCTGTGTTGTTTTATTTTGATTCAATACACGTGGCATATTAAGTCCAACTTCACAAAGGTGGAATGGATACAGAGCGAGAGGGGTGGGTGAAATCTCCTCCTAGGAGGATACATGTACGTCAAGCAAAAAGATTTGGCAGATGGGTACGAGGGCTTTGAATGTGAGCTACGAATATAAATATAATTTATACACAACCCCTGTACGAAACAAATCTATTCCGTCATAAATAACTAAGAAAATGAAAGTTCATGACATTTTCTCTAAATAGCAATTAGAAGAGGAGCTCGCATTATACGTCACAGTGTTACAAATTCCCTGGGTGTAATTGTCCTCGGGCCGCGGTAATGGTGTTTCGGGGGGGGGGGGGGGTAATTGTCCTCAGGGGGGTAGTTGTCCTCGGGTGGTAATTGTCCTCGGGGGTAGTTGTCCTCGGGGGTAATTGTCCTCGGGGGGTAATTGTCCTCGGGGGTAGTTGTCCTCGGGGGGTAATTCTCCGGGGGGTAATTTTCCGGGGGGTAATTGTCCTTGGGGGGTAATTGTCCTCGGGGGGTAATTCTCCGGGGGTAAATTTCCAGGGGGTAATTGTCCTTGGGGGGTAGTTTTCCGGGGGGTAATTTTCCGGGGGGTGATTGCCCAGGGGGTAATTGTCCTGATACGCTTAAAAAGCATAGTGATATTATGGCATAAAAGTTATAAAAGTTATACAAGTTGGGATGGATTAATTATTTTGCAGAGAGTATGTGAATAAAAAGTCCTAAAGTTTCATTTTAAACGAATTAAGAAATTATTTTTTTTTTAACATGAGAGAGAGAGAGTTCCATATCGAAGGTCCT